AATTTTACATTTTCACAGTTGTATATGTTTACATAGAGCGCTGATGTCCATGTTGTTCTCGACAGACAATTCAAAGAGAAAAGCAAGCACGAGAGACTGGTATGAGTGAGAATGGTTTCCCAGACAAATGCACTAATCCACTTAACCACCAGGATACCCCACTTCATAGAAAAGGGTCTTTGTTCCCAAGGTCTGTCTTTGTGTTGTTTTTCGAAAGGCTAAGTTCTTGGATATCCCTTCTTTGTTCTGTTAAGAAGACCAGGGTAAAAACACAGCCATAAGATAAATGTGCTTATTTTTCTCCTTTCAGTAATTACTGGAGATCACTACAGAGCAGTTAGATACGCCTGGTTTTGTTTTGTTTAGCTTATAATGTTCAGAGGTCTACTTAGTAGCTTTTTGGGGCTTTCAACCGCGTCTCACAGACTTCATTCTGAAAATAGAGCTGAAAAAGAGATGAAAGCTCAGAAAAAGGTTTTGGACTTTTGATTCATTTGACATGTTTTGGTACAAATACAGTTTCTAAAAGGTCATGAACTTCCAAGATGAAATAGCTTTTGCAAATTTAACTATTTTCTTCACGGTCTAATGGGACTTTGCCAGCCAAAGGGGGTGCAGCAAGTGCTACCTGGGGACCACCAAACCTTGGCATCAGTCACCCAGACAGTCACAAGAGAGTCATGAGACTGTGATAAAATGTAGTTTTAACCTTAAAATCCTCAAATGTTGGTGAGTTCAGTGCAGTCCAAAGACGTTGCTTTGTAGCCTGAATGTTAACTGATGGATCCGTTATAACTGTAGGGTTCTTGTTTTTCATTAGAAATTTTTTTTATCAATTTAATCAATTTGAATCAGTGAATGCATTTGCATGTGTTTTTAATCAAGATGCTTCTATACTGTGCTACCATAGTGACACCCCTTAGTGATTTCCTTTACATGGTATCCCCTCTTGTCTGGGGCATAACTGCATATTTAAGTGATTAAGGTGTTTATTCTTCAGATTTCTTAAAGGACCAGTGTGCTAAGGATTAAGTGGTATCCAGCGGTAGTTGCATATCACAATCCCCTCGCCTCACCCTCCTGTTCCAAGCATGTAGAAGAAACTATGGTGGGCAGGAAAAGCCCTCTCTAGTGCCTGTACTTTTGGGATATTGTATTCTGACACACTGGACTTTTATTGTAACTGTTTTTTCATGAGACATTACTGAAAATGCACAGTAATAAGAAATGGAAATACTGCACTTTTTGAACAACTGCTATAGTAATACTTAAATAATTATTAGTGCTGAATTAATAAGTTAATCGACAGAGACAGTTTTGGTAATTTTAGTCATTTATCAAGCAAAAATGCAGTTCTTTGAAATATAAAAAGTCTAAAAACAAATCTTGATTTTGGACTGTTGGAAAGTTTGATTGCCATTTTTCTGATATTCCATAGACCAAATAATGATGATTTATTTGCTGATAAAAAACTTAAAACAGACCATTTAAACTCTGTCTTCCTTGTTAAGTGATTATTATATAGGTATTACTGTAATATGCACTCATGGTTGTCCTGTTACAAAAAACAATGAAGTTGACGTAGAAGAAATCTCGGCATGAATCCATTCTCATTCTCACTGGACATTTCATTGTGTGTTACGTAACACAATAGTCATCAAACCTTTCTGTTGAGGGGGGAGGGCTGCGATAGAGTAATGCACTTCTTTTTTTCATCCCATTTGGCTTCTCGTGACAGCACAAAGCACCATTACAACACCTGTACCCCGGCTGTTTTCTTCTCACATGACTGTAAAGACTCTCATGAGGATGTGACTCAGTTCATGGTCAGCTCGGAGCTGATATGCATGTTTAGCAGTAGAACAACACATGGTGCTTGGATTATAGTGGATAGTTTTCTGCTACTGCTCCACTACGTTTCAGAGAGAATATTGTACTTTCTACTCCACTACAGTCTTATAGCTGATTAGTTTGGATTATAGTTTATCCTCCCACTACTTAGCACACTGCCTTTTGATTTCATACATCTTACCAGTCTCTTACCTCTGCATGGAGTCAAAAAACCTAAATTCTTGAGAACAACCATGGCAAAAAGCATAAATTATGTTGGTGTTCGTTTTCTTAATGGGTCATGGAGGCATTTCCTGTCCCTTTTAAAAAAAATTATCCTTTTTAATTTCCTTGGTACTGCATTGTATCTTCATCTACAAAGTTAATGGGAAGCTTTCTATGTTTTATAAAGCATAAAAAGAGATCGGACAGTTGTGAGATATGTGTGTTGTGGATGACTAGACTCGCCTGCACTGGCTCCAGAATTAGACGTCTCTACACGTGACCGCAACACACAAAGCAGTGGATTGACCTGAGGGCAGAGCAGTCAAGCGTTCAATGCATGGTGCATAGTGCAGGCATGCATGTGTATGTATGTTTCAATGCACACACATACATGCATACACACACACACCTTCCATTTGCGTTTGACGCATGCATTTCAGTGCATCAATGTGACATGTTTAGAAACAGAAAGTTGAACAGGAAGCCCTGCGTAGACTGTACCAATCGTAGTACCACGTCATAATTCACAGAAACAAGGAGGCAGCAAGAGCACCAAGCTTAAGATTGAGTAGTAGTACTTTTCTGTGTTGTTCATGCTATTAAGAGCCTGTTATTAGTGCACATATTTAGCAAATTAAACTTTATCCTATAATAAAATCGTATTTTAGCTGACACATCATTTACAGCCCTTTTACATTAATTTTACACTCTGTACAACACAACGTGAATCCCACATTACACCTAATCTCGTCATTTATTTTTTAAACACATGAGGTACTTAGTGATGTAATGCCTCTCTTTACTGGGAGGAGCCTCGGGTTTTCAGACCACGAACTTCTGGCTATTTCAAGGTCAAGGCTAAAAACTAAAGATGATAACGTTTTGTTGTTTGCTATTGTATTAGCCTCCCACGTAGACAAATCTGCATGTTATGTTAAGCATTGTAAAACTACCGTAACTTGTGTGCGAATCTTGATCTAATTAACTTTGGATTTTGTGGTTTGTGCACTGTGACTTGTCTGTCTCGTTTATTTCCTGTTTTTTACTCCGTCTGCAAAGCAATTTGCGTCTACTGTTTTGAAAAATGCCGTACATCTTAAGTTTACTTCCACTGCGTCAGCCTGTCTCTGTTTTTATTTGTACAGATTGAGCCTTTAGCTCTGACCCATATTTTGCCTTTCACTCACTTTCCCTTGGGTAAAAAAAAAGATCAGAATTCCCACCCGTCCAGTCCCATATGTCCTACAAATGGTTCAATGGTTAGTGTTAATGAGTTGACACAGGGGCATGTGCTAAAGCACACCAACCATGTGCATTAAAATGTAATATATACAGTACATAAAGCAGCAAGTCAGTAAATGTTTGTCAAAATAAAAGCCTGCTTCAATACTCTTTATTACAGTATACAATAATAGCAGCTCCAGCAGCCAGTTCTTGAGAGCTTTAACATCTACACATTGTCTTTCCTTTGGAAAATGTTCTTCCATAGATGAACTGATGGGTTTTCCATTCCAGATTTCATTATAATAAACAGAAGAGTAGCTGGGTAGGAGCAGTGATACAAGAAAAATACACAATATAGCTGAACACAAAAAAATATTTGTGACCTTTACACAGACCCTGGATTGGAAAATCATCAGAAATAAATCTTTCAGTGTTTTCTGTAACTATTTTGTTTTACTCTTGTTTAAAGAAGATCCTCTCCAGACATATTTCACATAAAGAAACTATGAATAATAGCCTTAGTTTATCTAAAAGCAGCTGCTTCTCCCTCCAGAGTCCCGAATCCAGAATTTATAAATATTCAAATACTGTTTGTCCATTCTTACTGTAATGTATGTGTGCTGGAGGTTTCAAGTTTTCACTTCCCACTAGTGAAAGTTTTTTATAGGACCACTGTTGGCTTCCAAACTAGTGTTTGATGTCTCATAATAATGTTTTAAACTCAGATTTAAGGTGAGCACAGAGAAACCTTCAGATGAATGTGAAAACAAACTCTGCACATACGTCATACGTCATTCTGCACGGTGAAGGTCAAACATCAAAATGAAGAAATGTTAAGCAAAACAAATTTTAAAATGAGAGGGGACTTTAAGTTTGTAGTGTAACCATCACCCTTTCTGCTGGTGTGTGTTTGCTATACAGAAAGGGAAGTGATGGACATCAAGCCAGAACAAAGTAATAAAAGAGAGCGACTTGCAAAAACTACAGTGGAAAAAGCATGGAAACCTGCACGTGTTTGTTTGAATAAGTGATCTCCGGGAAGACGCACCACGGCGATACAGCCTCCCCCTCCTCTTTGAAGATGTCTTAATGAGATCCAACTCCTCTTTTCCCCATTCCTCCACTTTCTCCTCCTCACGAATGCTGGAGCGTTGGTCTGCCTCGTTTCAGTGAATCAGTGAATGAACACTGTGCACTTTGGCATGTCACTCTGCCCTTTCTTGGTCATGTCAAGTCTATTTTTGTGTGTGTGTATAGTGTGCATAATTACGTGTGAGAGTGTGTGTGACGGCATTTTATCTCTCAGTCATTATAACCTAATCAAGTCAACAGAGGGCTTGATAATGGAAACAAGAGGTTATCAGAAAAAGAGAGATTTGGAAAGACTTGATGTTGTTTTTATGATTTGTTGAAGGTCATAATAGGAGTGTTTCATGGCAACAAAACTCTCAATGAAATTACAGGAATCCCAAAACCCACTTACTGTTTAATAACAAAGTTTAGTTTAGTTACTTCCTTATCAGGGTATACGGTCGACCTCAGCAGCTGAGAGGCCACAAGATATTAATTATGATCAAGTCTAATGCTTCCAGAAAACCTAGAGCCAGCTCCAGTCTTCTCCTATCTGGAAAATGTTTCATTTCTCTCTGCTTTATTGCTCTACGCTTCACACTCCTGCTTCAATGAAACATCTCAAAAACTGTGTGTTTATCTCTTCTCAGTTTCGATGTGGAGAATGGCCCGTCTGCCAGCTGCAGCCCCCTGGACCCCCAGGCTTCCCCCGGCTCTGGTCTGGTCCTCCACACTAACTTCCCTGGTCATAACCAGCGCAGAGAGTCCTTCCTCTACCGCTCTGACAGCGACTATGATCTGTCACCGAAGTCCATGTCACGAAACTCCTCCATCGCCTCTGAACTGTAAATAAATAAATAAAAACACACAACATGCAAATACCCACACACAGCACAAGTATGTACATGTTAGACAGAGAGAGATATACAGTGGAAGGTGGCAAGGTTGTATATACACAATTATAAAAAAAGTATAAGAAGATAAATATATATATATATAAAACATATAAAATGATTTTAAATACAATGAAGCCTCTTCCACTGTGAAGACAAAACTCTTCACACATGTATTTTTTTGCTAAAGTTTTCTTGGAATCATTCGTTTAAAACCGTTGTGTAACTCAATAACAGAATATGATCATATAGTTATGGTACAAATCCACTTAAATTGGTTTTATGTTATGCTGTCACTAATGTACATCGTTGAAGATGTGTTTTAGTATATGTTTTAAGCATTTCTAATATATAATGTGTGTTTTTCTTTTAATGTTCAAGTCTGTTTGTTTCATCTGATTGCAAAACTAATCTTCCCTGGGGGTCAATAAAGTTAAAAGGTTTCAGACAATAATACTGAATTATCATCCACCCTAATTCAAGTTGAATAAAGCTTAGATACAATGTAGTACTTTTGTCAGAATTAATATATTTTTATTCATAGCGGTGGCTCTTTTAAAGCTCTGACTGCTGTTTTATTTACCATTAAATGCCATCACTGGACATACAGCAGGCTTTAGTAGAGACTGCTGCTCTGCCCTCCAGTGGAGGATCTGATGATAGGTACTCTAGTGGAGGGTGGATTGAAGGAGTCCACTACATGACTCCAGATGCTGCAAATTACAATGATTTGAAACCCATAGAAAAATAATTCTGGTATTTTCCCTCATTTAGGTCACTGTAAATTCTAGGTACCTTACAAGGTTACATCCCATAGAAGATTGTTTTGACCCATGACCATCCTCCCATACTCCTCTTCCTCTTTGGACACCGTCTCTTTCAGTTAATTATAATAATGAGGCTGGCTGGGTCATGGTAGTCGTTGCTTATTCTTCTTCCTTAACTTCTTTGCTTTTAAAACATGACCACGCTGGCAGAAAGCACTGAGCATGTTAAATCAGCAAAACCTGATATTTGCTGTCTATTGAAAGTTTCTTACAACTTTTTCTTTTTGTGTGTGTGTTTCCAGACATGGTGATGACCTGATCGTAACTCCTTTTGCTCAGGTAAAGAGCTTACTGTCTGTAACTCACAATGAGTCTAATATTAACACACATACTTATTTAACAGTGGGGGCTGATAAGAGTACAGTTACCAACAGTGATCAGTATCAGTGTCCAAAGTTTAAACAACAATGTAACGTATGAATGTATCATTTTTCTATTTTCCTTTTATTTTTAAAAGAAAAATCATTTACTCTTTAATTACAGATTTATTGCAGTCATCAAGCAGAAACCTAAACTTAAACTTAAGGATTTTAAATAAATATGTTACAAAGGTAATGATTATCTCCTCCTCTGCATTTCTAGGTTCTGGCAAGCCTTCGAAGTGTGAGGAATAACTTCACTGTACTGACCAATGTCCAGTGTGCCTCCAGCAAGTGAGTGTTAATCAAAACCTGCAATTTTACATCAACTTTGTGACTTTTTTTTGTTATGTGCCCCAAAGCACATAACAAAAAAAAGTAGGTCCCAAAACCTGGTCCCAAAACCTGGTCCCAAAACCTGCTTTAACTCTCTGACAACATCAGGAAAATACTTCTAAAGAGTCTAAAATTCAGAGGAGCCAGTTGATAATAAAACATGAGCTTTATGTTTTATTATAAGCCATCATGAGAACCTCAAAAGAGTGTTATAAATCAAGTTGAAGTCCACTTAAACACTCTCTGGATTCATTTTTAGAGTGCAAAATGCATTTTAAAGTGACTCTTAAACAATATAAACATCATGCAGTAAGTCTGGTGGAAATGAAAATACATCAAACTCATCCGCTTCTCCAAAATAATTTAACTTCTTAACAGCTTTGAGCATCACAAAAAAAGTCAAAGGCAAAAGACTGATCATGTTCACTCAACCTGCAGTTCCATGATTTTACCACAAGGTGGTTGTATTGAGCTTTAAATAGACTGAGGTATGACGTCTGACAGCAAGTCTGAGTGTTTCCACCACTCACAGTAGAGCGGGTTAAGTAGTCCGGCAAACAAACACAACACATGCACATTTAACGGCACATTGAAACATTGTAAGTGAATATTACAGTGATGCCCAACTCAAAGTGGTAACGTTGTAATTTTAGAACCATTATGCCTCTTTTATCTCTTGAGAAATTAAAGAATAGTTTCCAACTGTGTGTCAGTCAATTAAAATGCTCTATAAGGAATTGCTCTGTTGTGGTGAGGCACAAACAGAAAAACACACCCACAGCTACTCACACAGATGGAACGCCTCATTGGTATGCAGTCAAAGTATTTTTTGTCCCCACGGCATTCATTCTGCACTGCATCAGTGGCCACCCAATCATATTTGCATCTCACATATAATGAAGTAGAATTTGGAAATAAATTAAAAAGCTTTAGTCTCGCAGAAAATCTAGTAAATTGTTTGCTCCTCCTCATATACTCTATCTGGAAAAGAAATGTATGTCAAACTTATAGTAAAGTGCAGCGATGGCGGCGTGGAGTAAAAGGATCATGTGTGATCAAAGCCATGTTGTATTTTCAGCTCATAGATGCACACAATATTGTTGGTCTACTACTACTACCTTATTTTTAAACGCATCTTCTCAAACCAGTGCACTGGTTTTTTCACTGCTGTGATTTTAAAATGTTTTATAAAAATTACTTTCTAGCATGTTTGTCAGTGGTTTGCAAAGTAAAGATATTACTAATGGTGATCATTGGCAATCAATCTGCTGATTATTTTCTTAATTAATCAATTCATTTTGGTCCACAGAAAGTCACAAAATAATTAAAAATGCCAGTTACAATTTCCTAAAGTCAAAGATGACGTCTTAAAATTGCTGGTTTTGTTGGACTAACTGTTTAATATCGTCTACATTAAAAAAAAGCAAAATCTTTGCGCTGCAGGTCGTCTTCCATGGAGATTTTACAGTAGCCCAGAAGGGACAAACCAAACACTGGCTCGAGATAATGCCTTTTTTTCCGCACATTTCACACCCACCATAGCTTTTGTCACACACTTCACGGCACGTTGTCATTCCCAGGTTGACAAATACAGACGCGAGTGGTGTTCAGTTAGTTGTAATCTGCAACTTCACTGCTAGATGCCACTAAATCCTTTAACAGACTGGTCCTTTAAAGCTGCAGCAGCATCACACCTCCCAGTGGAGGTGAGACTGCGGATGCAGATACTCTGGAAATATGTATATAGGGCACCTTTCCCTCTGTTCTTTGCTGTGAAGGCTTATGTGTATGTGTGTGTGTGTGTGTGTGTGTGTGTGTGTGTGTGTCTGTCTGTGTCTGTGTCTGTGTCTGTGTGTATCAGTGTCTAAAGATGCAAAGAGCTCTGTCCTCTTCCACTCTCCATATTAACACTCTGCTGTATTGAAAACCTGAAGCCTGTCTGACCTACATTCGGTTCTTACACTCACACAGACTGATTTTCTGAATTTATTCCACCCAGAAGATCCAGCGGATGATCAATGAGTCCTTGCTGAAAAGAAATGTATCAATACACTGTCAGCTGCCACTCTCCAGCTTTCTCTCACACACACTCTTTTGTCCCTTCAAGATGTTTTCCACATCAATTATTCTGTCAAGTCACTGTATGTTATTCTATTCATGTTATTATTCAAGACTCTCACATTGAGGTTTTAACCAGGTATTATAACACACATTTTACCCTCGGCAGACACATTAGCTGACATAAACACTGACATTTGAAGAAAAACACTCACATATAATTAAATGTTAATGCAAGAGGTGGAGGTGCAGGGAGTTACTAAAAGCAGTGAAGATGTTTCTGTGTATGCAGAACTTCTGTAGGCAGTAGTGATAGGAAGTGGACATATATTATTATTGGATATGTGGAACATCGAACTGTAGAACAACTTGTGCCTGAAACTACCACATGGCTCCATTACAATAAAAATATCATAAAAACTAAACTAATAAATGCTATCTGATGACCCACAATTACATGTCTAATCTCTCTTTACTAAGTGTTTCAAATTGAGTTTAAAGTGATCTCAGTCATGCATCCATTTTACACTCTGTGGGTGGGGGGTACCCCGTGTTCATTCTCTGAACAGACAAAGACGTCTGTCATACTCAAATGAATAGTCTGACATTTAGACAAATACGCTTATTCGATTTGTTGCCAAGAGTTAGATGAGAAGATGTTTCATGTCTGTCCGTTTAATATGAAGCTACAGCCGACAGCTGGTTAGCCTAGCTTAGCAGCAAGAACTGCTCTGTCCAATTCAATTAAATTTTATTTGTATTGTGCAAATACATAACAGAAGTTATCTCAGGACACTTTTCAAAATAGAGCAGGTCTAGACCGAACTCCTTCTAAAATTATTTACAGAGACCCAACAGTTCCCACCATGAGCAAGCACTTGGCGACGGGGGCAAGGAAAAACGTCCTTTTAAGAGGCAGAAACCTCGTACAGACCCCGGCTCTAGGTGGGTGGCCGTCAGTTGGGGTGAGAGAGAGAGAGAGAGAGAGAGAGACACAGAGAGAGAGAGACAAAGAGAGAGAACAGAGGTAACAACAGAAAGACAGAGACAGAGACAAAGGTGCACAGCAACAACAGTAGCAACAACTACACTAATAGTAGAGACTGATAGTGATCAACTAACTGTCATCACTAAAGCTTGTTAATCAACACAATTAATCAGCACAAAAATCAGAGTTAAAAAACGAGTTTGTGGGTGCTGTGGTTCTGATAATCAGGCACATATTAAGTAGTGAGATGACAGAGTCCCACTAGCTGTCTTTATGCTAATCTAAGCTAACTAGTTTGTGGCTTTAGCCTCATATTTACGATAAATATATCAAGGTGGTATTGATCTTCCCGTTTAACTCTTGGCAAGAAAGCAAATAACAGTATTTCCCAAAATGTCAAATTATCCCTTTAACCAAAATTACTAACTTAATCTTAATTTACTGCGAGAGAAAATGTTATTGGTTATTTTGGTGAACTAATCCTTTAAAGATGAAGATTATATACAGCATATCATTCTCATATCATTTCCTTCTTTCAGGAGGTCTCCTGCAGCAACAACTCAGCCTCCAATCACCAGAGTTTGTCTCCCAG